AAATGAAGGAAGGAGAGACAGAGGGAGGGAGGGGAAATAAAGACAGGAGGAGAGAAGAGGAGACCAGCTTAGGCCTGACAATAGATCTATAATCCTAGCTGCTTGGGAGGCAGGCAGTGGAAGTCAGAAAGTTCAAGACCAGCCTGAGCTACACAGAGACACCCTGTCTCAAATTAAAAAAAAAAAAAATTCTTTTGAGACATGGTCTTACATAGCCCAGGCTGGCCTCAAACTCATGGAAGCATGCACCACCATACCTGGTTTATGTAGTTCTGGGCATCAAGCCCAGGGCTTCATTCATGAGAGACAAGCACTCTACCTACCGAGTATATACTCCCAGCCCCTCCTATTTTTTTTCTAAAGTTTAAAGAGCTGGGAATGTAGCTCAGTGGTAGACCAGTATGTATAAGGCCCTGAGTTCTATCCTCAGCACCACTAAAAAAAAAAAAAATCAGCCATAATGAGGCAGAGCTGCATAAAAATAAGCTGATGGTCTTTAATGTACAGGATGAATATTCCCAAATGAATCCTCCCACACACAACCACAACCAAGAAACTGACAGTTCATCACCCAAGAAGCCAGCTCCTGGGCTGCTTGTCAGTGGAAATCCTGTTTTCTACGCCTGTGCTGCACTTACCCACATGGAGCAGAGGTGTAGACATTAGAGCCCTGCCTCTGGGTTGGCAAGTTTTCCATCTCAGAGCTTGGCTCCTTTGTTTATTCACCGGCCAGTCCAGTGGGGGTGATTATAAATATAGCTACTGGGACATCAGCCTGGCTGCTGGGCTGCAGGGCCAATGTGTGTGTGGACGACTGAGAAAACAGCCTCTGCTCAGTTACTAACACTGTTCTGTTAGTGCCATTTCCCTGTCCATCCAGCCAGCCCCAAGCAGGAAGGGTCCTACTACTGAGCACCCACTGAGGCAGACCCTGGCAAAAGCTTTAGCTCCTTCTGAGCTGCCTAGGAAGCATACTATACAGACAGGTCCCTGGCCAAGAGAGCTTGTGACCTGGGTGGGGCAGGAGCTGGGGACAGAGGAAGCAGGACAGAATTGCAGTGTCCAGACTCCAGCTCTGGTCCAGACATAAAACTACATTGCTGGTGTGGAGTATGTGACTCTTCCTCCCCACAGAGAACCCACCAGATGTGTACACACAACCCCCAGACATGAACACACAACCTCCAGGCATACATACACAACCTCCAGGCATGTACACACATCCCCAAGCATGCACTATGCAGTCCCAAGACATGCACACACAGTCTCCAAACACGTACATACAACCTCCAGGCATGCATACACAGCCCCAGACATGTACACACAATCTCCAGGCGCATACACACAGCTTCCAGGAATGTATATACAGTCCCCTAGACATGCACACAAAGCCTCAAGACATATGCATACAGCCTCTAGCCTGTAGACCCTGCCTCACATACAAGAACAAGCCCACGTGCATAGCACACATGCAGATGCCTGTTGAACATGCACAAGCTGAAGGAATACAACCAGCCACTTTCAGATGCCGATACTTGAGCACCAGATCTGGCTTAGGCATAGGCTACTGCACAAGATGCCTTAGGCTGGGGCTGACAGAAAACAAAAATGTACCTCTTGTGGTCCTGGATGCTGGAAGTCCAAGGGCAGATCTGTTGACAGCCTCTCTATCTCATCTGGCTGAGGGAGCTGGAGTTCTCCAATCTCTCTGTAGGAGCACTGGTGCTATTCATGGGGCTCCACCCTATGTCCTGATTGCTGTCCAAGTCTCCCAGTACCTCAGCCTTGGGGTTAAGATGTCAAAATATGAGTGGGGGGGGCACTTCAGATCTTAGCCTAAAGCAAGCAAAGCATCCATCCACGTACACACAAGTCTCCTTTCTCCAGGCATCAAATTGAGCCCACACAGACCATGCCCACTCCCTCCTGTGGTGCACATGCCAACACATACACACACTGAGCAGGCAGACACGTCTCACAAGGGCCCAGTCAGCAGGTGGGGAGACGGTGTCCACAGTGCTCCGTGGCCTAGAACTTTCCCCTTTCTGGAGCCTAGACAAGGTCATCTTGGGGATAGAGACAGTTCATCCTTGCCCATGCCCAGGGCCAGCTGCCAGCAGCAAGAAGTCTTCTATCCTTCAAGACCTGGGACGTCTTCCTCTCCAGTGAATGTGGTTGCTCTGATGGGCCCTCACTACCTACCTTCTGTGGCCCCGTGAACAGGGAATTCCCCTTGCATCTGGGCAGAGCCAGAAAAGCTGAAGTAAGGGATGGTGATAGGCAAGTAAGCAAGAGGAAAGGGGACAGTAATGTGGGCATCCAGGGCCTCAGAGGACACTGTCTTCTGCACGAGTGCAGCCATGATGTCACTGTCTAGAAAGGAAATGGCATGACATCAGTGCCTGGCCCCTCTCGTACCCCGAGCCAAACTACCTCATACCAAGCCAGCTCCCTGCCCCATTTGCCAACCCCAGGATTCCACCTGGCTGGGGCATCCAGCCTGAAACCCAGAGATGCCCACCCACTTGGGACATCCACAGACCTGAGGCTTAGCCCCTGCCCACCTCTACCACATGCAGAAGCCAGCTGTCTGTCTCAGCGAGGGCATAGTGGGTACTGGACAGTCCCCAACCCAGTGAGGTCTCTCTGAATAGTAGTCTCCAGAGCCATAGGTCCTGGGTTTTTTATCCACAAGCCACAGACCAAGAAACCAAGTCAGGACAAAGGAACTAAACCTACCTGTGGTCATCCTGGCCACAGACCAGGAAACCAAGGTCAGACAAGAAAACTTTACCTGCCCAAGGTCAGCCCAAGGCATGCTGGATGTGGGCAGCATGATGGTCTTTTAAACAACTGACCCCTAAGTGTCAAGGCCAACAGCATCTCTTCTTCCTTCATAAATGCCCACACACCCTGGCTGTGCCCCTAGGCTAGCCAGTGCTCCTGTCCAAGGCCCCACAGGATGCTCCTTGTGATGGTCAAGCTAAGGCACCCAGGCAGCTCGGATTATGGGGAAACAATCCAACTCTATGTACATGGCCAGCCGGTTCTTCAACTCTCCCTGAGATGGCCAGACCAGTCAGGCGGCTTTGGGCAGTCCCTGCCTCCTAGCTGCTCCCGGCTGGGAGAATCTGAAACCTGTCAGGCGGGTTTGGTCAAAATTCTGTCTTGCAAGTTCATACTGCTTGCTCCTATCTCTCCCAGGAGGGGATCACTCAGGACCGAGGCCCCTGGAGGTCCCAGGCTGGCCAAGTGGCCATGTGAGTACAGGGCTACAGCAGGCAGGGCCCTTCTAGGAGCTGGGTGGACTGGAGTTGTTGGAGTGCTCAACATGGGGGCTGGAGACCCAGCTCAGACTTCAGAGCAGGAGGGCCGGGAGGCAGAAGGCAGGAAGCAGGCCTGGGAGGCGGGAGGCAGGGACAGGCAGGCTGGCCTGCCTTCACCTGTGGGAGGTATGGAGGACTCTCTGATGCCTGGTCCTGGGGACTAAGAAAGGAGGAGAAGGGCTCAAGGGTTTCCTGGGCAGAGGTTTGGGTGCAGCAAAAGCAAAGCCTGGCATGGCACTGTGGCCCCAAGCTCTGCGGAGGGGTTCCAGGGCCTAGGAACAGGCTGGGTGTCTTATTCCTAAAAGGCACCGTGTCCTGGACCTCTCACTGCCTAGCTCTCCCTGGGCCTGAAGACTGTGCAGCATGGGAATGAGGGGAGCACATTGCCAGGTCCCACCACCCGTAGCTCTGAGCTTGGCAGGGGGACATTGCCAGGCCCTGAGGTTGGGTCAGTAGCTGCAGTACTGTCACAGGCAGTGGGAGACAGTAGGATCAATCACTAGCCTGCTCGGTCTCCTGCCCCCAGGCCTGCGAGGTTGGAGTCAGGTTGCAGGGTCCTCTGTTACCTGAGCTGCAAAGCTGCCTTATTCTTTTACTTATGCCCAGGCAGGCAGCGTGCACACAAGCATGAGACATGCAAATGTCTGTGTCCACCTGCCTGTGTGTACACAGCCATCTCTAGCCTCGTGTAAGGGTTGTGTGTGCGGCAGGGGATGGGCTGAAGTTGTGCAAAGGCATTTACTTTTGGCATGCATACATAGATGTAGGTTTCTCCAACTGAAGGTGTTGTTCTATCTGTCTGTGGTGGCTACCTTTCTATGGGGGTTTATGTGTCAGAAAGATATCAGAAACCACCCTCCCAAGGAAACCTCTCTACATACAGCCCGCCACCCAGACTGACCCAAGGAGTTGCCAGGAGGCCTGTTTGTGTCTAGGCTATATCTCTTGTGAGCTGATGATTGTAGATAGATAACATCTCTGAATCTCAAATCTCTACAGAATAAGAGCTGCCATGGGTGACTATGAAGAACATGTGGGAGCACATGGGGCTAGAAGCACTCTGTTCCCTGCCTGGCCCCCCGGATCAGGCATGGAAGCCCCACCACGTATCAGGCTCCTCTTGTCTCCCCAGTCACCACCACCAGATTTTTGAATGGGAAAACCAAGACACAGCCAGACAAGCAGTTTGGCTAAAGCCACTATGGGAGATGCTTTGCCCATCACTGCAGTCTCCCACACAGAGAATGAGAGGAGATGGAAGCAACTAGACTCTGGTTCAAATCCAGCCTCTGCCTTCTCGCCTCCAGTCGGCTCCATGCCTTGGAGGCTGATTGCATAGCATGGGATACTCAGTACTTCCTCCAAGGCCAAATGGACTCCAGTCACATTCTGGTGGTGTTCTTGGCCCTGGAGCGGCCTGTCAAGGGAGACAGCAGGCCAGGTAATAGCTTGGCTTTCTCAGCAAATGCTGGGAGGATGTTAACATCCCTGAGCCAGAAAACCCCTCACGAGGTTCAGGGTGCAGAGGTGCTGTGTACAGTGGCATCCGCTGTACCACTGTGGCCACTGCTGCTTTTTGTGCGTAGGTGGACATCAGATGGGTTGACCAAAAGCTCGTCTGAAACAGACTGAGGGTCTGCTGAAGAGTCCTCTTCCCTTGAGCGCCTGCTAAAAGAAAGGGGGCCGGGCATTAAGGACAGTCAGACAGGGTGAATGTCCTGTCTCCTCTGATTTTGCACTCTAGAAAGGGAAGGAAGCCAGCTGCCATCACCCACCAGTGACAGGGTCTAAGGGCTCCAGCTACCTCAGAGAACAACACCCAGGTATGGCCACTGACCCACCACTTGGGCTTTGCCACTGGGCCAGATGGCACCTGGTCTTATTGGGAGTTACAGCTGGGGCCAGATGGCACCTGGTCTTATTGGGAGTTACAGCTGGGGACTGGATGGCACCTTCCCTGGGAATGGCCACCAAAACCCATGGACTAGTGAGCATTTTGTGGCCACCGTTGATGGCAGGCCTCTGCTCTGAACACAGGGAGGGATTTGTCCTCCTACAAAAGGTCTTTTTGTTTGTGAGACTCAGGCCTGTCACAAGGAGAGAGGGCATTGTTAGCCCCCTGGGGGCTGTACATAAGGGAGATAAGAGGCTCAGGGTTCCCTCTGTCACACACAGAATATGTGTCACTCGCCTTTTGCCTGGCACATGTGATACTGGTGGGAGCCTTACAGAAACCGGATACAGGACATGGGTGCATCATTACCCCTAAATGAGGAAACAGGGGCTCAGAGGTTAGAGCAACTTACCCAAAGCTATACATAGGAAGGACAAGAATCATATTCAAAGCCCAGGCTAGCACTCTGGGCTGGGGTAGTGGCTCTACTCTGGGACACCAGCCTGCTGGCCTGCTGTGATTGGCAATGGAAAACCCCTGCCCCCTCTCAGAGGGCAGTCTGGGGAGCTGTGAGGTGCAGAGGAAGGGTCTGAGGTTCAAGTGAGGCTCCTTGGAAGCAGGTGATCCTGAAGAGCAGGTGGGGACCCTGAGAAGCAGGTGAGGGCTCTACCAAACAGGTAGGGCCCCATAGAGCAGGTGGGGGAGTCTAAGGTTCAAGTAGGGCTCCTGGGAGCTCCCTCGGGATAGTGGAGGCCCCCACAGAGAATATAGGTGCCCTAGAAGGGAAATGGGGACCTGAAGGTGTGGATAGGGGCCCTTGAGATAAGTAGCGATCCCATGGAGCAGGCGGAGATTTTTGGAGCAAGTGAGGGACTAGGGGGTGGGAGGGCAGAAAGGGAGGGAACCTGAGGTTCGAGTTGGCTTTCTGGGAGGCAGGCAGAGCTTAGAGTATGCCTCCTGGTGAGAACATGGATAGAAAGCTTCTGCTGTCCCTCAGGCTTCTTCACTGTACAGTGCTTTCCTAGGCTCTGACAGGGGAAAGGTTCCAGTTTAGGGGCATGCTCTGTTTGGTTCCGGTGAGCTGCACTGAGTAGCTCTGAATGTGTCCATGTAGATGCTGTATCTCACATCCAGCCTCCTGCCTCTTGCCAGCTTCGATTCTGAACACACCCCCACCTCTGTCCCAGTGTCTTCGCAGACAAAGGGAGGCAGAGCAGGCCTGAAGGTGTGTAACGTCTGTGTAGGTGGCAGCTGCTCCCGACTTTGTGCCTGCCTCCGCAACTGCCCAGGCAGCAACAAAAGATGGAGCTGAGCTGTTGAGCAGCCTTGACCCTCTACCAGGTGCTTCCCAAGGATTCAGTGCCCACACAGACCTTCCAGCCTGGATGTCAAGATTGAGGGCCCTGTCTAGAGATCCTAGGGCTCAGGGCTAGGCTTCAGGTCTCTGCCTACCCCCATCACCACTCTGTGTTTTGGAGCCCCAAAGCACCCTCACATGCTCCTGGGTACCACCCTTCTAGGTTGAAGACTGCACCAAGTCTGTTACTCTTGCAGACTTCTTCTCACTTCACAGCTCCCTACAGCCTTGGCCTCTGAAGTGCCCCGTATTCCCAAGCTGCTAGCCACCTTCAGCAAGCCTAGACTCACAGAGCAGACCTACTGGGGACAACCACTCTGCGGACCTGTGGCACAAGGCTTCTGGGCATGGGCTTGTGTATTTTTAAAAGCCAGGTTCATTCTACCCATGATCACCCATTTCTACACCAAAATGCCAAGGCTTGAAGAATGCACCCAGGTGACTACTACCCTCCATTTCCTTTCCCTGCCCAGAACCTCAAAACTCCAGAATGGTAGAAGCTGGACACAGGGACACCCTAGGCATGACAGGGGCCCAGGAAACTAACTTTATCTCAGTCATATGTGTTTCTGCCATCTGACTACCAGGGAAGTCATGTCATCCCTATAACAATGTTACCCTGGATCAGGATGACCTTGCTTGGTCTTGTCATGGCCCTGGGTCCCTGGACAGGATGTACCATCTAGATCTGAGGGAACTAAACCAGTGTACAGCAGAGAATTCAGGACTATCCTTGAGGAGGGAACCTTGAGAATAACAACCAAGTGGTGTGTGTGTGATAGGCTAGAATGAAGAAAGGAAACAGCATGTGGCCCCAGAGCCCATATAGGCCTCACCCAAGCCTACAGGCACCTCAGGATCTCTTGGACTGCTCTTCTACAGGTGTTGACCCAGCCCATAAAGCAGGCGCTAGGGGCCTGGGGAGAGCCACCCGCTGGGCGAGTCTGAGTGGAATTGCAGGTGCTGGCTCAGCCCCTTCCCAGCCTTGTTTGGCTCTGCTGGCCGGTCCCACCTCCTGGCCTTTAGCAAGGTAAGGCCTAGACAGCTGAGCATAATGGCCCTCTGGAAAACATCCCAACTCACACTAGCTGAATTAGCAAGGTCTGCGTTCAAATCTACTTCCCCCCATGGAAGAGTGGGGGCAAGACCTCTTTGAACCTCAGTTCCCCGACTTGGAGAGAAATTCCTGGAGATGTCTTGAGGATTCAGTGGTTGCGGTAAAAGTGATACCTGTATTGAATTCAAGGATGAAAAAAGGCAGCTAGTCATGTGATCTAGGACCGGGACCCTCAATGTTGGGGTGGTTAGTTAACCCACAAGGACATGCCTCCTTGAGATGAGCCTCAGCTCCCAGTCCCTAGTTGAGGGACCTCCCAGTTCTTCATTCCCATATCCCACCTAAAAACAGAGCCACCAACTGTCACTTCCACTACTGTAGCCAGCTGTGGGGAGTCGGAGCCCAGGTGAGTCTGTAAACAGTTTGGGAGCCCACCTTCTGCCTGGTTTCTGTCCCCACACCATAGCTGTCTGTGCTCGCTGAGTTCCTGTGGCCACCACAGCCACTGTATGACACAGCAGCCACCACCCCTCCCCCCACTCCTAGCCCAGCCTCCAGAAGTCAGTCTACTTAGTGCTCTGGCCCATGCAGATTCTACTATTAACCATTTCATCCTCCACAGTCCAACCTTTAGCCATTCACTCTCTACCCCTCCCCCTGGGCAGCCTCTCACAGTGAGCAGATTTGCCCCATGCATGGAAAGTTCACCTACTTGTCAGCCCACGGCCCCTACTTAAATCAACCCTCTCCCCACTCCCCTCTCTACAGGCTGGACCCAGAAGGGCAGCAGAGGTCCCAGCCCTCCTCATAGCTAGTGCAGAGTGGCCAGCGCACAAGGAGCCATGGACAGCTTCATGGAGTCGCTGAACAGACTGAAGGAGGCCCATGAGAAGGAGGTTTTGGGTGAGTGGCTAGTAGAAGGCCCCACTGTGCTCATAGGAAGATAGTCTGGGGGGGAGGGTGTCTGTGAAGGTTAGGGAACTTTCAAGGATCCCCTCTGGTACTCAGTAAGTCTGTCTGGAGAACAGAATCCTGACCCAAGGACACAAGCTACATGCTCAGTGTTCAGATGACCAGCCTGGGCTCAGACTTGACTCAGAGCACTTCCTCATCCAGAATGTTTTCAAACCACACCCCATGGTGTAGACCAGGAGAGGGACATATCCAGGGATCACTATCAACACCTCATGATCACAAGCTGCATCCAGCCCCCAAGCATGCCCCTGCTGCGTCCTCTCAGAGGGCTGGCAGCTCTAGCACAATGGCCCCTCCCCCAGAGGGAGAGGTTGCCCACTCTAGAGGATCCTAGGGCCATATGAAGTGTCTCCAGCACTGAACAGACACCTCCCCCTCCCCTCCAGACCCTGCTAAGTTCCCTGCTGGTCAGGACACCCTCAGCCCACCTCGTTGTAATTCCAATTCAGTCCTTGGAGGCCTTCCAGAAAGGGCCATTTGAAGGTCAAGGAAGCCAGACATTCCCCTGAGCCTCAGGGAAGAAGCCAGTCTGCCCTTCTGGGAATCCCTAGGCCTACCCAGGCTGGGATCAGCCTCACTGGATCCCAAGGAAGTGTGTCAGTGAGAACTTGCTCTGAAAGCCCGCTGATGGCACATCTAGTGTTAGGAGAAATGTCCCAGAAGCAACAGAACAGCACCTGGCCGGATGTGCATGGGGATACAAGCTAGGGTCAATAGGATTTCATCTTGAGAGGTGAGGTGTCAACACTGACCAAGAGGAGACCAGGCTCCTCCCTAAAGAGGACTGGACCCTTTTTGGGCAATTGGTTTGGGCTGGCAGACAACCCTCTAAGGGACTTGGTTGGCTACACAGGAACTCAGGGTGGGGCAGAGGCTGCTGAGCCCTAGGGGCAAAGAACTTGCAGCTGCTGAGAAGGTAGATGCTGGCCCCACCCTAAGATCGTGCTGATCTGAAGACTGAATAGAACCTAAGTAGAAGAGAGAGACAGGTGCCGGGTCTTCCCATTCCATCCTCTGCACCCAACAGGCATTGGAAGGTCCAGAAGTGGGGGATATATCTAGCTTCCCTTCCCTAACACTGGCACTACCCCCCCCCCCCCCAAAATTAGCCACTCTTGGATGCTCTGCTCCTATCAGGTGGCCAGCCACTTCCAGGACCAGGGTCTCTGTCAACCTCTAATCAGATACTGAGCTAGGGTGCCAGGCCTCAGTTCAGGAAACCAGAGCATCTGGGCAGCAGGTGCAGATGGGGTGTCCTCCCCAAACCCTTCCAAGGCAGATAGCAGGAGTCTGGAGAGGATCCCATGTGACAACCAGGGCAGGAGTTTCCACGTCATGCCTCAGCCCAACCAGTGTTGTGAGGAAGCAGCTGGGCCGGGCCTAACCTGCACCTTTTCCATCCTCTCTGCCAGGCCTGCAGAACAAGCTGCTAGAGCTGAACTCAGAGCGGTGCCGGTGAGTCAGCCCAGCTGAGCCATCAGAACAGACAGGAGGGCAGCTGTTCTCACAGGCTATGGCCACCCACACTGCCCCCAAGGCCCCAAGATGGCAGCGCACCCAGAATCCCAAATGCAGAAGGGAAGCAGCATGGCATGGAGGGGGCAGGGAGGGGGCAGGGAGTCTCTTGGCCAAGGTGGCATACTACTTATGTGGTAGAGCCAGGACTGGACCATGGACATGTCAGCCCCAAGGGGTCTGGCGTGGCCCTCCACGTGCTGACCCAAGGAGACCAGAACACCAGTGACAGTACTTGTGAGATCCAATGCACAGCCTCAATTGCTAGTGGTTGGCCTGCAGGTCACCTTCCTGTGTCCCATCTCTGACTAAATCAGTGGTTCTTAACCTTCCTAACGCTGTGGTCCTTTAATACAGTTCTTCATGTTATGGTGACCCCCAACCACAAAATTATTTTCATTGCTACTTCATAACTGTAATTTTGCTACTATTACATACCATAATGTAAATATCTATGTTTTCCGATGGTCTTAGATGACCTTCGTAAAAGGATTGTTTGACCCTCTCCCCACCCCAAGGAGTTGTGACCCACAGAGAAACAATGGGAAACAATGGACTAGACCAGGGTCCATATGTGCCATAGCTAAGGTAACGTGAAGACAAGATAGGCCATGAGAACAGTTCTGTCTGGGAGTATGGAACTGAGCCTCCTTTGAAGGGCCACACTCCAGGACAGGTTCCCACAGGGAGCTGCCAGGGACGACCCACCCAAACCCAGGCTATGCTGGGCATCAAGACCAGCAGCCCACCTCAGCTGTTTGCCACAGGGATGCACAAAGAGTAGAGGAGCTCTTTGCCAAGAACCACCAGCTCCGGGAGCAGCAGAAGGCGCTGAAGGAGAACCTGAGGGTGCTGGAGAACAGGTGAGGTGGCGCCTCCCAGAGCCGACCTGGGAGGCTTTAGCACAGACCAACCAGTCAGATGTCTCCAAAGTAGGGATTTGCAGGACCTTAAGAGAACCTTCTTTCCAAAATTCCTTCCCAAAACTTAATTGTGCATGGGTTGCTAAGCCCTCAGCAGGAGACAGGCCTGGGGGACCATGGAACACAGTTGGGAAAGCAGGACATATCCTGGCAACGGGGCAGAAGGAACCAAATGTCGACCTCAATATGACTTCTCCTGTCCCCAGGCTGCGGGCTGGCTTGTGCGATCGCTGCATGGTCACCCAGGAGCTGGCCAGAAAGAAGCAGCTGGAACTGGAAAGTGCACACCTGCAGAGCCTGCAGCATCTCTGCATCCTCAGTGAGCCACCCCCACAGGCCAGGGACCCCAGAGCCTGGCCAGCCCACACAGAGCCACAGGGAAAGGAGGAGACATGACATACTCTGGTTCCCAGACACATGGGATGAGGCCCCCAGTGACCTGTGTCTCTTCTCACATCAGTTCCTAGGCCAGGGCAACCCCACTCTCCTGACCTTCCTGGGGGAGCCCTAGGGACAAGCTGGAGTGCCGGCTTCACCCTTCTGTAAACCTCAGGCAGAGGTTTACTCAACACCATCCCACAGTCCACTCCTACAGCCAGTATTATTATACTCCCTCCTGCTATGTGCCAGGCTAGAGCAAGACAAGGAGGGCTTCCCTGGTACTGTGGGAGTCCCTTGTCTCCATCCTGCCCTGTGGCCTCACTAATCACCAGCACTCTTTGCAGCCAATGAGATGAATGGACTGAGGGAAGAAAACAAGCTCCTGAAGGAAGAAGTGAAGAGGCTTCAGAACCTGGGGTGAGTGGGACAGCACAGGCCCACCCGCAAAGCAGGCCTATGTCTTCCTAGATTCCTGTCCCGCAGAGCGGCCTGGCTACCCTGGGTGCTCCAGCTTCTGTATCCTCATCATCAGCCTTGTGTCTTCTCCAGAGACAAGGCTGCACCCCAGGCCTGGGAGGGCACCTCAGGGCCCCCATCACCCATGCCTCTTCCCTCACCCGGTAACCGGAAGGGTGCCACCGAGAACCCCCCAGGAGGCCCGGAGGAGGCTGAGGAAGAACAGCCAGGCACAGGTCCACAGGGTTGGTGGGGAGGCTGGGAGATTGGGCACCTGGGGGATCCCACAGCATCTCTCCAGCTCCCTCTCATTTTTCCTCCCATAGATAAGGTGTCAAACTACAAGACATCCCCGGTGGCCAGAATCTCCCCAGCTGCCAACCTGCCTGAGCCACGAGCCCTGGACATGGTGAGGACATGTGTCCTGACCCCTGCCCGCCCCCTAAACACTCAGTTGCCATCCAGGCAAGCAGGCTGGCAGCCATAGTCCTGCTATGTGCAAGTACTATGTGCCAGCTTCACACCCATCAGGTCTGTCCCCAGGCCAGACACGGACACTGAGCTTCATGGGAGGCGGGGGAGGCCAGCCTGGGTGAGGTGCCCTGCCAGGCTGACCTGCCCACCCTGCACAGAGCCCTCAGTGCATCTCCAACCAACTGCACTCAACAGTAGCTGTGGTGCGGCCTGGCTCCCGGGCCTGCCCACCAGACTGTGGCACTGCCAACGGAACACCCCCACCGCCATCCACCAGAAGCAGCCCACCCAGCCCAGCATATGAACATGGCTTCCCTGTGGACAGGTAAGGCCCTACCCACCACTGAGAGCAGCTCTCTGCTGGCACCCCATAGTAGAGAACCAGCAGCCTGGGGAGTGCTGCTCAGTATCTCTCCAGGACACCTACCGTTCCCTGGGTTGACTTTTCTGGACATCCAGGTTGATTCACAGTTCCCACATCTCCTGAGTGACCAGGCCATGGTAGAAGCAGGACACTGGTATACACCTTGGCTAGGGCACTCAGAAGACCCATGTAAATCCCAAGTCTCATTGCCTAGCAGAGCCAATGGGGCTGTGGGAGATGGACAGGATTATCAGACACCCTAGGTAGTTAGTGCTCCCGCCACAAGACAGCCTAGTTCACTTCCTGTTGCTATGATAAACAAACTGTCCAAAAGCAACTGAAGAGAGGAAGGGGGTTATTTCAGCTCACAGGTCAAGGTTCATCGTTGAAGGAAGGCCTGCTTGCTGTTCTATGCAGCATTACCTCTATCAGGGAACTCACCGCCAAGGATGTACAGCAGGAACCATGGAGGAGGATGCTTGCTAGCTGGCTCTTATACTTACATTCAGTTAGCTTTCTTATACAGCCTAGGAGCATTTGCCCAGGGGATGGTGCCATCCACCATGGACTGGGCTCCCCTACATCAATTAATAATCAAAACAATCTCCCATGCATCAGTCAATCAGATCTGGGCAGTCCCTCAAACGAGACTCTCTTATCAGGTGACATTGTGTCAAGTTGACAGTTAAAATTAACTAAGACACAGGAGGAGGAACAGGACCCAGTGTCCAGGCTCTGGGTCTTCTTTGGCCAAATCTGCCATCTTCTATACACAGTGACCTCCAGAACTAGGGCCTGAGAACCCGCCCTCTCTCATGACCATGTGACCTCAGGTGGCTTGCCTAACCATCCATGAAGTGGGGTGTCTATGTCCTCCCTCGGGGAGCTCACTTAGCCAGTCACTGCTGGCCAAGGGCCAGTATCATCATTCTTCTCTTCCCCCTAGCTTCCTGCGGGTCTCCCGGCCATCAGCCATAGCCTATGAGACCCTGAAGCGCTCCCTTCAGACTGATCGCCTCTGCCTTCTGAATCGCCACCTGTCTCTGCACCTGCAAAGCCCCCACAACAGCCCTCTGGCTCCTGCTATAGCTGCCAATAGCCCCCTGCCCCAGGGCCTGAAGACTAGAGAGGCAGAGGCATGGGAGGAGCCTGGTGCCTTGGTGGGCATGCAGGACCCACGGCTGGAAGGAGCACTGCAGCTGCTGCTGATTCAGCAGCAGTTGCGAGCACGGGCACGGGCATGCAGTGCCAGGCTGAGGGTCCCGTCCACACAAGAAGATGTGCCATCTTCCCCACCACCTGGCTCAGATTCTGAGAACTCAGACAGTGAGGCCCCCAGGACAGCTCTGAGCACAGAGGCCCAACCTGATGGGTGGCACCCTCAGTCCACAGGCCAATGTAGCCCCCCAAGGAAGGAGATGCATGTGACCACTCAGGACTGTCCCCCAGACAAGCCTCTGGACCTCTCTGACCGGGGACGGTGTCGAGACATCCCCAAATCCACTGGCCAACCTTTGCCTCTCAGCACCACAGTTGTCCACACTCCCAGCCCCCAGCTGACCACCTTGTCCAGACCCGTGATTCACAGCCCCCGTACTCTCAGCAATGGCAGCAGCACACAGACCAGAGCTCGGGAGCCTGAAGAACACTCTACTCCCAAGGTAAGGGTCCTAGTCCTGTTCTCATCCTCTATGCCACTGCACTGCAGGATGGCATTTACATCTCCCTGGGATGCCTTCTCTCTGACCTACCAGTTGGTTCCAAAGAGCAGCGTAGATATCCTGTTCACACTTAGAAAGGATTGAATACCTACTACAGCCTGAAGATGGAGTTGGCTCAGGAACATACATACATACATACATACAGAGAGAGAGAGAGAGAGAGAGAGAGAGAGAGAGAGAGAGAGAGAGAGTCAAAGCATTAATTTGCCTCTCCCAGGATACCTCACACCCTCTCCCAGGGACCCATGCCAGCCTGACCTCTCCTGGAAGAACAGCAGAGGAGGCTGGAGGAAGGCCCAGGCCAATATCCCACCTGCAGAGGCCTGACACTGATGGGACCACAGGTAAAGTCAGCACTCAGAGCACCAGTCCAGTGGGAAGGGATGTGTAGAGGGAAGGGATGTGCAGTGGGAAGGGGTGTGTAGAGGGAAGAGATGTGCAGTGGGAAGGGATGTGCAGTGGGAAGGAATGTGCAGTGGGAAGGAATGTGCAGTGGGAAGGGATGTGCAGTGGGAAGGGATGTGCAGGGGAAGGGATATGCAGTGGGAAGGGATGTGCAGTGGGAAGGGGTGTTTAGAGGGAAGGGATGTGCAGTGGGAAGGGATATGCAGTGGGAAGGGAGGTACAGTGGGAAGGGATGTGCAGTGGGAAGGGAGGTACAGTGGGAAGGGATGTGTAGTGGGAAGGGAGGTGCAGTGGGAAGGGATGTGCAGTGGAAAGGGGTGTGTAGAGGGAAGGGATGTGCAGTGGGAAGGGATGTGCAGTGGGAAGGGAGGTGCAGTGGGAAGGATGCGTAGAGAGAAGGGATGTGCAGTGGGAAGGGAGGTGCAGTGGGAAGGGAGATAAGTGGCAGCCTGTTGGCCTCCAGCTGGGTCTCTCCCACTGTAAATAGAGGCTGTGAGGCTCAGAAGACATTGCTCTATTCACATTTGAGGAAGGGAGGGTCCCAACCCACAGGGCTGTGGGAGCCAGGCAGGAGGGTACCTAGCAGGTGAGCCTGGGTTCAGATCTCCAGCAAGAGCCCTGGGGCCGGTTACCAGCCCCTGTGTGTCCTCATCTGGATTTAGTCTCCTTGTCCTGGGACAGCATGCCCAAGTCCACCAGCCTGGCTGACGCCATTTGTGTCTTTCAGAGCCCAGGTCACAGAGGCCAGAGTCGGAGCAACCGGAAGAGTCAGACACCAAGGTGGGTCCTCAGCCACTCATTCAAGGTGGCCCTGGCAGATGCCCAGGCAGGAAAGGGGGTGTTCCTTGCCCTGAGTGTGTCTCCTTCTGCCCAGGTGGGTCTGACCCCTGAAGCAATTGCAGAGCCGAGCATGCTAGGAGAGGGACATGCTGAGGACCATCGACAGTGTCCACAACCAAAGAGGAAGCGGACCTCAGATCTTCAGGACAAAGGTATTTACCTCCTAGAAGCTGAAAGCCAGAGAAACACCTAGGGAGGACATACAAGACCACAGGGCTGCTGCAAATAGGGCAAGGTATGTGGTAGGTGCCTCTCCTAGACACCTGGAGAATGGTATCTGGGGACTAGCTACAGCCTGACAGAAGCCCTGAGCCTCCCTAGCAAAGGCCTCTGTGAATCCTGACCAAATGACCTCCTGGCGATACATGCTCCTGGGCCTTAGTTTCCTTCCCTCAAGAGGACCGACACCAAAGCTCCATAAAACTTCAGTGGGATAGGAGTGGAACTGAGAGGGGCCGAGGATGTAGCACAGCTGGCAGGCTTGCCTAGCATGCACAAGGCCCTGGATCCTACCCCCAACACTTAAAAAATTGACATCTTCCACAGAAAACAATATTTTGGGTTTTTTGTTTTGAGACAGGGTCTCATTATGTAGCCCTGACTGGCCTGTAACTTACTCTGTAGACCAGAGAGACCTCAAAATCACAGAGATTGTCCTGCCTCTGCCTCCTGAGTGCTGGCATTAAAAACATACACCACCACACCCAGCCACAGGGAAATGTAAGCCACATTGTCATCTTAGACTACATAGCAAGTTCAAGGACAGCCTATGCCTCTATGAGCCCCTGTCTCAAAAGGGGAGGGGGAAGAGAGCGGAACTGAGGACATTTATTACTGTCCCCCTGGAAGCAGCTCCTTGGGACTGTAATCCTTGGACCCTCTTGTACACCTTTGGGCAGCCACATCTGCTGGCCCTGTGTTTTTTCAGTGTTAGGGTTGCTCACGTGTTTGCCCAGGGCGGTGCCTTTGAGCTCAACTCTGCCTGATAAGATAGCAGGAATCTCAGCCTGGTCCTGGGTATGAGAATCAGGACACTTCCTGCTCCAATGCACAATGGTGAGTCTTTGAACACCTAAGCTAATATGCATGTGGCCTATGTTTGCCCAGGCTACAGCTCAGCAGGCTGGGCTGGGGCCACCACAATAAGCTATTGTTGCCGGAAAGAGACTGACCGTAGCCTGTGTTTGCTGGAAAGAGACTGACCGTAGCCTGTGTTTGCTCCGAGTGGAGGCCTGGGCGCCTGTGTCATTTCCAAGCACTTCCTGCTGTGTGCGCATGGAGTGGGGTGTGGTCCACTGGGTTCCTGGTGTGTCACCTTCCACCTTTCACACTGAGCAAGCCAGGCCCCCTTATCCTCCCAGGTAGAATCGGGCAAGGGATGGCTGGCACAAGGCGCCCTGTGGATGCACTCCTCCGTCCTGGGACGCTGCCTCGTAGTCAGTGAGAACAAGCTAATGACTAGCAAGGGTCATGCTCCCACTTGACCTAGCACATCCCAGCATTATCTGAGCCATGCAGAGTGAAAGGGGTATGTAGGTGTCTCCACTTTGGGCCTACAACTCCACCCGGCAGATAGAGTTGACACTGCTTGACAGGTGGGGAAACTGAGGCTTGATGAGTTAATTGGCCCCAAACCACAGGTCTGCTGCACAGACCCAGCATCTCAGAAGGTCCTGGGTGTGACCTGCCCAGAATCAGATGCCCCTCCCTTGTAGTCACAGTCCCAGCCACCCCAGCAGTGAGGAAGACGATGGGCAGGCTCTGTGAGAGGGCTGGCCCTTTTGCTCCAGCCATTCAACACCTTGTTAGGAACAAGAGTGGCCAACTGACTTAACGGAGTTGAGCTTTGCTGAACCTAAAAGTCGAAAGCCAGAGAAACATCTAGGGAGGACATACAAGACCACAGGGCTGCTGCCATGCCTCTTAGAACTTCATATTTCCCACAGCCCTCAAGAAGCCATCTCAAGGGAGGAGGAAACCGAAGGAATCTCTGACCCCAGCAGATGGCCCCAGGAGCCCAAGGGACATGGAAGACTTCAGCCTCTCCCCCATTAACAACTGCCAGGAGTCCTAACCCACCAGACTGAGGGACACTGCATTTGCCCAGACGTGTCTTTCTGTCACAGACTATTGCTTGCACAAGTCAAAGCACCCAACCTGAAGATAGCTTGGAACAGTCAGAGCACCCAGGCTCTTCCTACTTTCAGAGGGGCTGGTGCACCAGACCCCCTCCCAAGTCTCTGGACAGCTCCTCCCCTCTCAGCACTGTAGGAAGATGGAACACCTGCAGGCAGGATAGGAACTAGGGGGAGCCTCAGTCCAACCCCACCCCCTGCTTCTTTTTCTAGGCAACGCCCCACCTCGCGTGCAGTCGGAGGTCCCAGACTCTGCAGACTTTTCCAGGTCAGGAAGGAAGCCTCGGACAGCGGTCTCAGGCGCCCCCTTGTGGAATCTGAGCAAATGCAGCCAGCAAAGGGGAAAAGAAAGGAAGGCAGTGTGCAGGGTGCCCGGTTAGATGTGACCTGCGGTGAGCTCAGAGAAGAATACGAACGGCAATAGACGCAGCTGGCAGGGCTGAGGTCAGAGGCATCGACTCATTTAGGCAGGAGATCCAGGATTAACTGGGTCTAAGCTCAGGAAGACAGAGCAAAAGTAGCCCTTATGTTCTATCGAGCCCCCGCAGACAATCTGGTGCTGGTGAGGAGGAGACTCAGGGACCTGTGTGTATGAAGTTTAAGAACAAAGACAGGCACTGTGGGCAAACGAGTGAAAGCACCATGGAGTCAGGGCCCAGTGTGGGGAGAGATAAAGAAGAGAGAAGGTGCCTTGGGAGGTCAAGGAAGGCAGCATCTAAAACTTAAATTTGGATTTTGAGGGGTGAATAGGAGTGTGCCAAGCAGGCAAAGTTCCTAGCATGCTTTTATAAGTATCTAGATGCCTGCTAAGAGGTCAGGGTGAAGGCCGAACAGAACTCACTTGACCATGACTGCGTGAGGAAGGCCCGAGCTGGCCTAGTCAGGTAGAAGGGACCCCAGCACAAAGAGTGCTGTAGAGTAAGAATTTCAGTTGTAAGAGTCTGAAATTTCTGGACCTGGAGAAGCTGTCCCTGGGACTGAGTGAGGCCTGGACTTGATGAGGAGTACCATTCTCCACTGGGCAGACAGTGGCCTCTCTGCCTGACACCTGAAAGTCCAGAAGACTAAATTCCAAGGGATATGGCGGGAGGGGGAGAGGTGCCTGTGCATGTGCACGCGTTGAGTGTATGTGTGTGTGTTCAAATAGTTGTTACAGGTTTCTTGAGTTTTTTCAAAATTAAACACAAGCTGTATGCTTTATCTACTCTAACCTCCTGCTCAAGTTTGGTCTGTGAGGGAACACACCACAACACCACACCCAGGAAGAAGCCAAATTCCTGCCAAAAATGTCCCTCAAGCACCCCAAGGATCCCACAGTGCCTGCCAGCATTGGGGTACAGCTCTAGGGCTAGCTCCACATCCATGGCACCTGCTGAGGACGCACGCCTCCTCATGTGGTGGTATTGTGTTCCCCCAAATATTGTGCACCTTAATAAACTTATCTGGGGTCAGAGAACAGAAAAGCCACAAGATACTTAGGCTAGAAAATGTTAGCACACGCCTTTAATCCTAGCATTCCAGAGACAGAAATCCCTCTGGATCTCTGTGAATTCAAGGCCGCATTGGAAACAGCCAGGCATGGTGACTCACGCCTTTAATCCCAGAAAGCCAGCCTTTAATCCCAGGGAGTGGTGGTAGAAAGCAGAAAGGTTTATAAGGCATGAGGACCAGAAACTAGAAGCATTTGGCTGGTTAAGCATTTGGCTGGTTAGGAGGCATTTGGCTGGTTAAGCATTCAGGATTTCGAGCAGCAGTTCAGCTGAGAGCCATTGGGATGAGGACACAGAAGCTTCCAGTCTGAGGAAACAAGACCAGCTGAGAAGTTGGCCAGGTGAGGTTAGCTGTGGCTTGTTCCGTCTCTCTGACCTTCCAGTGTTCACCCCATTACCTGGCTCAGGTTTGATTTTATTAATAAGAACTTTTAAGATTCCTGCTACATAGCCGGGCAGTGGTGGCGCACGCCTTTAATCCCAGCACTCGGGAGGCAGAGGCAGGCGGATCTCTGTGAGTTCGAGGCCAGCCTGGGCTACCAAGTGAGTTCTAGGAAAGGCGCAAAGCTACACAGAGAAACCCTGTCTCGGAAAAAAAAAAAAAAAAGATTCCTGCTACAGTGCACCCTAATAAACTTATCTGGGGTCAGAGAACAGAACAGCCACTAGATATAGAGGCTAGAAAATGGTGGCACACACGCCTTTAATCCTAGCATTCCAGAGGTAGAAATCCCTCTGGATCTCTGTGAGTTCAAGGCCACATTGGGAACAGCCAGGCATGGTGACACACGCCTTTAATCCCAAGAAGTGAGCCTTTAATCCCAGGGAGTGATGGCGGAAAGCAGAAAGGTATATAAGGCGTGAGGACCAGGAACAAGAGCTGGTTAAGCTTTTAGGCTTTTGAGCAACAGTTCAGCTGAGATCCATTTGGATGAGGACTCAGAGGCTTCCAGTCTGAGGAAACAGGATCAGCTGAGGAACTGGCGAGGCAAGGCGAGGTAGCTGTGGCTTGTTCTGCTTCTCTGATCTTCCAGCATTCACCCTAATAACTGGCCTCAGGTTTGTTTTTATTACTAAGACCCTCTAAGATTCATGCTACACCTCACCATCTCCATTTGACCACGGCTTCAGTCAGCCACCAGTTTGTTGTCCTCTCCCCCTCAAGGACTGTGCACATTAGCAACAAGGACCTGGAGCCACCATGCCACAGGCCCAACACGACAGTGCCTCACTCATCCATCCCAAAGCAGCTTAGGCATACAGCTAGTACAACATTGCTACTGGAGACCAAAACTCAGAAAGGTGAGTTGCCCCATGGTCGCTTGCAGACAGTGGGGGCTAACAGCAGCCGGAGTGTCCAGGGCACCACACCCAGGTCAGCAGACACCATGGCCCCTTCCCTCTGACAGAAATGACACTCTCTAGGAGTGCCCACCACACGCTTGGGCCAAGCCCTGTGTTCCACTAGAACTGCCCACCTTACCACTGGCTCCTGGCAGAGGTCAGCTTGGAAAAGGCAGGGGAGAAGAGGAGAGGGCAGAGTAGGGTAAGCCTGCTTGTGCGGGGATGAAGGAGGGAGACTGCCAAGGAGAGGAGGGATGTCTGCGGGAACTGGCAGTGAGGACTCCTGTGGGTCATACCACTGACATTCTCCCCCAAGCAAAGAAGCCGCTTCCCAGGGTTCCCTGACCCTCAACCAGCTCCACCCTAGCACCCCCTGCAGTCGCCACAGGACCAGAGCAGGCAGTGACCACAGATGGGAACATAACGGGGATTTTCCTTTGTGCCCCTTCGATGATCCACCAAAGACCAAGGTCCCACTTTAAAGACAAGTCCACATTGGCTGGTCGCTGGGAAGAGCATATGGTGGCAGGATGAAGGCAGGCTTCAACAGCCTCTCTACACTGAGGACGGACATACACACACAGCACATAGCCAAAAAGGTCTGTATAGTCAAGGCCTGGCCACTGGACCACAGAGGAAACTGAAGACTGAGCACCATGCAGACTCAAGGCCACACCCATGCTGAAACTTAGGCAACCCAGGAAGGTGACAGCTGTCCTCAGACCATAGATGAGTCTCTTCTGCAGACAGTGAGGGATGTCAGGTGGGCCCGCTGGCACAGCCCGGAAGCTGTGGCTCCGGTGGTTGTATGGGTGGATGCCCAGCCCAGAGGAACCTCTCAGCTCTTAAGAAACAGCCTGGAAGGCAAATAGCCAGGCCCAGGTCACACCCCGAGTCCGCGGCCCATAATGAGCATTCTGCAGAGTGACACACACACACACACACACACACACACACACACACACACACACACACACACACACACACACACACTGCGTCCAGGGCAGGAGAACAGAACACAGGTGCCGTGCAGCCACCGACCCTGAGGTGTTTGGAGGCCGGTGGCCACGACAAACCTACACCCGACAGATTAAACCACCTCTAGGACCCAGGGGAGCGCCAGGGCACGGTACACCTCGCTAGCCAATGGAAGGGCTCAGTGAAGCTCATTTGCATGTAGGTGCGTTGCGGCCAATGGACGGGGACAGTGAGACTATATTTGCATGTGGACGCGCCAGGGCCAATGGGCGGGAGTGACGAAGTGACATTTGCATGCAGGCGCGCCGCGGCCAATGGGCAGCAGCTCGGCGGCGCGGCGCGGCGGCGCACTCGAGCATGGCCGCGGCCGCGGCGGGAGGAGCCCCGGGTCCGGCCCCCGGCCCCGCCAGGCCCGCGCCGGCCGCCCGAAACCCGTCGTCCGTGCCTCGGAGGCGCGGGGACTCACGGCGCCGCCAGGCCGCTCTCTTCTTCCTCAACAACATCTCCCTGGACGGACGGCCCCCGAGCCTGGGTCCTGGCGGCGAGAAGCCCCCGCCGCCGCCACCACCGCCCACCGAGGCCCGCGAGCCGCCTGCGCCTCCGCCCGCTCCACCCGGAGGCCTCCCGGGGCTGCCAGCCAGGCCCGCGCCCCAGGGCCTACTCAGCCCCACGACGGCGCCCGCCGGCCTCGGCCTGGACGGGCAGCGCCAGAGGTGAGTGGGCTGGGCGGGGCGGGCTGCACGCTGGGGTTGGGGTGTCCTAGAGGCCTAGCCAGCACGCCCGGTGTGTGACCTGTGGGCTTGGCAGCCCGGGTCACAAGGGTTCGAGTAAGCCACGGGCTCGGCAGACCTGGTCATGGTTGGGGTGAGGTGGATCCATTCATGCAGCACACAGGTGAGGTCACCTGAGATCCATCAGCTAAGCACTCAGAGGTCTGGATGGTCCGGACTGGTCAGCCCAGGACATAAGGGTCAGGATGGCCTGAGCCCACCAGCCCAGGGGTGGCCCCAGGTCCATCATTCAAGTACTTAAGGGCACATCACCCCATCATGCAAGAGTCAGAGCACCTTGTAGTCCCATCTGCCCTTGACTTGCTTGGCCTGAGGTGATCTGGCAGCATCAGTCCAGAATACAGGGAACAAATTTGGGGTTACTGGAGCTTTGTCAGCCCATGACACAGAGTTGAAGTATCCTGAAGCTTGTCAGCCTCCAGATACAGGGAATAGTTCCATTAAAGCTGTCGGCTCCTGGAACAGTTCTTGGGAACAGTTCTTCACCTTGAGATTCCCCTGAACATGGATTTCAGAGTTCCCTCAGCCAACTGACTTCAGACACATCCCTCCCCTGTCCATTCTATCAGTACCCTAAGCACTGGGACTCACAAACACTTTGGATGTGCTGTGTGTACACCTGGCCCGAGCTTTCTCCTCACCATCCCATACCTGCTGGACTCAGGACCTACCACATTGCACTCTGTACTTCTTGCCCCGCCTGGATCATTTTTAGGGGCCCCTCAGTCTAACCCAGGGCAGCTCTTATTCCTAACCACCGTCTCATCCCCCGACTGTGCCCACTTCCCAGTGTCCACAGCTACCATGTGGGTCTCAGCCCCCTCTTGCATTCTCAGTCTTCACCTGAAGAATGGCAGTAGGAGCCAAGTCTGGCCACTATGGTCCCTTCTGGGCAGGCCCCACTACTAGGGCAGAACTGCCAGGTAGCTCCCAGGTATTGGAAACCCTGGACAAGTCTATCAGGGCTAAATTGTAGGCTCACAGTGATGAGGTGCCTCCCAGATCTGTGATGGGAAAAAGTTCTCTGACATCTGACCCTGCATCACGTGTCTGTGTGGCCAGAAGGGCCTGAACTTTCTGTGGTCACCACCTTAACCTGCAGGTAGGGGCCAGGCCATGCTTCTCTACAGGACCTAGAAGGGTCCATTGGGGTCAAGGGGTCAGTTTGTCCCAGAGTGTTAGCTGGACCCCTTGTGAAGAGCAGAACTGAAAATCAGGCTGAAGTTTGTGTGGGTGAGGCACCCTTCGGTACTCCTGCCTCCCTAGCTCCTCCAGTGAGCCATCTCCTGCCCTCCCAGTTCTGATTTCCACTTCATTCTGATAGCCTGACCGCCCACAACTACAACTGCCTGTGGCAGACGTCTTTTCTTCTTGGGCTCTGCTTCCAAGTTCTTGTCACTGCCCTAGAGTTGTCACCCTTCCTTTCATGAGCACAGGCCCTTAGAAAGAGGACTCTACCCTCTCAGCTCCCGACCTGTGACTGGAAGAGACAGTAGTAGCTGGCCTGTTAAAGGGAGCTACTGGCTCCCAGATTTATTTAGTTCTTGATCTGTTGGGTTTTTTCGGGTTTTGCTTTTGTTTTGTTTTTATGTGCATTGTTGTTCTGCCTGCATGTATGTCTGTGTGAGGGTGTTGGATCCTCTGGAAGTGGAGTTACAGACGGTTACGAGCTGCCATGTGGATGCTGGGAACGGACTGTGGGCCCTCTGGAAGAGCAGTGAGTGGTCTTAAACCGCTGAGCCATCCCTCCGCCTGATTGTCTGTTTTTTAAGAAGCAAAACCCTAGAGTCCCTGAAGGCTTTGTCGCAAAGAATGCAGGCCAGCTTTCCTCCATCCAATAGCTCTATGACCTTGAGCACCTAATGGGTCTCTTAGAACCTCAGTCTCCCCGCTGTAATAGGCTGACATGAAGCTCTTTCTCCTTGGGGTCACATGATCCTAAGGACTCAGTAAAGTGACAACTTGTTACAGCTTGGGGCCCCCAAAGTGTTTCTAGCTATTGACAGAACCACCCTGGTTTTCTGCATGGGGCTTTTGGCACTGTTTATCGTCTGTTTTTGCCGCATGCCTGGGCTAGGCTCACCTCCAGAATCTATGATCAGGTTCGAAGCATGCATTCCAGCTACCTCACCACTGCTGCCTTCTGCCTAGAAAGCCTATGTATGTATCTCCAGAGCCATGGTGACAAAGGATACAAACCTGGGAGCTCTCAACAGCAGCAAGCTCTTCCCTTAGCCCTGGATGCCAATCACTGGAGGTCAGGCTGTAGCCTGTGTGTGTGGGGGGGGGGGGGGTGCTTCTACAGGCCTGGGTGCCCTGTGGCTCATGCTGTGTTGTTCCATCTCCCTGTCTCCATGTGTGTCCTCATAGACTTTCCTTGTCCTCCTTTTACCGTGATCCCTTCCTAGACT